ACATCATCTAAAAAGCTGCATTTTCTGAGCGCAGTGAAATTTTTACTTATTTAAAATAGTTCCAGTGTACCAAAACTCATGAACTTTTGGATTTGGGTTCCATTTTTAATGGAGATTACAATATGCATTTACCTTTTACATATTTGTTTACATATTTTCAGGTAAGGTGTTAAATAAAGTACATGTCAATAGTAATAATTATCATATATTTTATTTGAATATTATAGAAACATTTAATTAACAACCATTTCATTACAGATGACTCATGTCATCTCAACAGTAGAAAAGAATCGTTTCTGTTTTCGTACTTATTAACAAATTAACAACATTTTACTTAGTAATGCTTATAACTGATTGAAATGGTTGTGTAATTATTTATTTCAATAATATTTCTGAAAAGCAAATACCTCTATTAAGCCAACTACATAGATATGGGCATCATTTAAATACGATCTGATTTTCTTCCATTACAAGACTGATGAGTTGAAAAGTTTATGTATGTCAATCATTCACATCTAGTTCTATTTTGATTTGATTGATGTATGATTATATCGCTGATTTTAAATTATATTCATACATTTGACTTGATTCTGTCAAAATATGAATTGAATGACGATCTTCTTAAAATCATCTGATTAAAGGGTGATACGGTCAAAATTTGGTCAATATCAACTTGACGTATTTCTTTCAATTTTGCATTTAAAAAACCTGAACACCCCTCATTTTGAAGGTGTGTGTGTGTAGAATGTTGCTCCTATTTTGATTTTGGAATTCACTCTTCAGTTGTCAAAATGCCGTCCAAGCAAGAAGAGCAGCGTATCAAAATTTTGCTCGCGCATCGCGAAAATCCGAGCTACTCGCACGCAAAGTTGGCAAAATCGCTAAAAGTTGCCAAATCAACCGTTACAAATGTAATTAAAGTGTTTGGGGAACGTTTGTCGACAGCCAGGAAGTCTGGATCGGGGGGAAATCGAAAACCGGAAGCCGCTGAGACGACAAAGAGAGTTGCCGGTAGTTTCAAGCGAAACCCTAACCTCTCTCTCCGAGATGCCGCAAATAAGCTGGGTGTATCGTCTACAACCGTGCATCGAGCCAAAAAACGAGCCGGACTATCGACTTACAAGAAGGTAGTGACTCCAAATCGCGATGATAAACAAAATACGACGGCCAAAGCGCGATCCCGGAGGCTGTACACGACGATGCTGACGAAGTTTGACTGCGTGGTAATGGACGACAAAACCTACGTCAAAGCCGACTACAAGCAGCTTCCGGGACAGGAGTTTTATACGGCAAAAGGAAGGGGAAAGGTAGCAGATGTTTTCAAGCACATGAAACTGTCAAAGTTCGCAAAGAAATATCTGGTTTGGCAAGCCATCTGTACCTGTGGCTTGAAAAGCAGCATTTTCATAGCTTCCGGGACTGTCAACCAAGAAATTTACGTGAAAGAGTGTTTGAATAAACGTCTGCTGCCTTTCCTGAAGAAACAAGGTTGTTCCGTACTGTTTTGGCCGGATTTGGCATCTTGCCATTACGGTAAAAAGGCCATGGAGTGGTACGCCGCCAACAACGTGTAGGTGGTTCCCAAGGACAAGAACCCTCCCAACACGCCAGAGCTCCGCCCAATTGAGAAATACTGGGCTATTGTCAAGCGGAACCTAAAGAAGACCAAAAAAACTGCTAAGGGCGAGCAGCAGTTCAAGGCAAACTGGCTTTCTGCGGCGAAGAAGGTGGACAAGGTGGCTGTACAAAATCTGATGGCAGGGGTCAAGCGTAAGGCCCGGCAATTCGGATTTGGAAAAGCGGAAGCCTAACTGAATATTTTTCCTGAATTTTATACTAATTGAACTTGAAAAAGAAATTTAATTTGATTTTTTAAATAAACGATTTCACCGATTTACAGGCGTTTTCCCTTGACCAAATTTTGACCGTATCACCCTTTATAAGCATGGGGCTTGGGTGAGGCAAAAATCATTCAGTAGGCGGCGGGTGTTTTGGTTCAGTGTAGCTTCCACACCTGGATATCGCACCCATTCTCAACACAGATCCCGCATAAATGCGATCCATTACTTGACCTTACAAAAATTGGTTAAATTTGTGTTATAATCCATGCTAAACTTTAACTGAGATGGTTATGGAACTTTACATGAACGTTTGTGTGATAAAGTTTTAACCTTATGTATTATGGTTTTTTGGAAGTGAACGTCACGCTTTTCACTACAGCACCGGCGCCGGCTGGGGTCACTGAAAAGCAACCGATTCATAATGATAACACGTGCTGTCACAACTTCTTGGATCCCCTCCCCCTGAAGAGTGGACGCCATATTTGAATCGCCCGTAATCGACATCGAGTGAGCTCGACACATGTTTATCAACAAGACAGTGTGACACTCAAGCACAACGCTTCAAGCTTTTTTTTTGTTTACTGTGACTGTCAGTGTATAATTTTTTGTGAATTTTGCGCAAATTTGCGATAATTTTGGTTGTAAAACGTAACCGCAGCGTACACACCACAGCAGAATGGAGTGTCCGAACGGTTCAATCGGACAATCGTCGAAAAGGTGCGTGCGATGCTGATTGAAGCCCAAACTCCGAAGAATCTGTGGAATGAAGCGGTTCTAGCGGCGGTATACCTGACGAACAGAAGTCCAACCACCGCGGTATCTGATTGGAAGACTCCTGCGGAAATGTGGACTGGTCACAAGCCGGACGTTAGTAAACTACGTGTGTTCGGCTGTAAAGCATTTGCTTGGGTGTCCACGGCACAGAGGAAGAAACTGGATCCGAAAAGCAAACCTGCTGTGATGATCGGCTATGCGCCGAACGCCTACCGCCTGTGGAACAAAGAAAAGAAGCAGTTATTCCTAGCCAGAGATGTCAAGTTCGATGAAAACAGTTTTCCGTTTGCCACCCAGATCCGTGACGAAACTCCTTTGGTTGTTGCTCCGTACGAGTTCGAGGATCAAGATGAGGAAGACGTGCAAACCCCTGAACAGTCCGTTCAACCCGATGAGCCGCTGGTGGCTCAACATGACGACATCCTGACTGATGATGAAGAAGGCGAGGTTGAAGACGACGGTGTTGAAGAAACCGGAGCGCTCCCTTCGCAACTAGACCGTGGTTCAAACCTCGAAATGGAAACCCCGAGGCGCAGCGAACGGGAGCGCAGACTCCCCGGTAAGTTGAAAGAATTTCTGGTTGGAAAATTTTTCACTGCCGCGCAATCCCATTCTGCAGATGTTCTCCATAACGTTTCCGATGTACTATTTGACGGTTCCGTTGGACGAGATGAGGCCGAGCGTTCGATCTTCGATGTCCCGGAGGCGTACAAGGAGATCGCTGGACGAGCCGACGAAGCTCTTTGGCAGCAAGCGGTCCGTGAGGAACTGCAGTCGCTAGCGGACAACCATGCTTGGCGATTGGTGAGATGCCCTGCTGGTGTGGTTCCGCTCAAATCGAAATGGGTCTTCCGAATCAAGCCGGACGAGCATGGCGAACCGATCCGTTACAAGGCGCGCTTGGTGGCGAAGGGATTCCAACAGAAGCCCGGAGTCGACTACAACGAAACATATTCCCCCGTAGCAAAGTTAGCCACGATACGAACCGTTCTTGCTGTAGCAACCCACCGAAGGATGCACGTTCACCAACTCGATGTGAAGACCGCATTCCTCTACGGTGAGCTTGAAGAAGACGTCTACATGGCCATACCCGAAGGAGTTGCAGCACCGCCGAACTTCGTTTGCAAGCTGGATCGATCGCTGTACGGACTCAAGCAAAGCCCCCGCTGTTGGAACAACAAGCTAAACGACCTTCTACTGGATTTCGGCTTTACATGATTACTGTCTATATACCAGGATCGACGATCGAGGGGGGGTATACATAATCATCTACGTGGACGATTTGCTCATTGCTGGCGATCGACTGGACCTGGTGAAGGAGATCAAGCGTGCTCTTTCCAAGAAGCTCCAGATGACGGATTGCGGCGTGGTTAATCATTTCCTTGGAATGAAGATCCGATACGACCGCGCCACCGGATGCATGTACCTGGCGCAAGAAGCTGCTGTGGACCGTGTGCTGACGAAGTTCGGCATGCAAGACTGTAACCATGTCAAAACCCCAATGGAGAAAGGCTGTTTCCTGCCACCACAAGCTGCGAATCCTGTGTTGCATCCATACCGTCAATTGCTGGGCAGCCTGATGTATACGATGCTGTGTGTTCGACCGGACATATGCTACGCTGTTGGATACCTAGGGCGCTTCCAAGTTCAACCTGATGAGGCCCACTGGCAAGCCCTGAAGAGAGTGGTCCGTTACGTGAAGGGAACGAAGAACTTGAAGCTCCAGTACAAGCAAAACGACGACGCCGAGGCACTTGTCGGGTACGCAGACGCTGACTGGGCATCGGATGCTGAGGATAGGAAATCCGTTAGTGGCTTCGTCTTTAAGGTCTTTGGGAACACCGTGTCTTGGGCAAGCCGCAAGCAACAAACCGTTGCACTGTCGTCGTGTGAAGCCGAGTATGCAGCTTTAAGTGCCGCGGCCTCCGAAGGGCTGTGGCTGCACGGAATCCTTGAAGACCTGAAGCAAGTTCGACCGGACACGGCATTCAAGGTGTACGAAGACAACCGTGGGTGCATTGCAATGGCCACAAACACCGAAAGCAAGCGTGTCAAGCACATCGATGTAAAGCACCATTTTTTGCGCGACCATGTGGCACAAGGAAGACTTTAAATCGAAGCAATTGATACAGCAAACCAAATAGCGGACACGTTCACCAAGCCCCTGGAACCTGGACGTTTCCGCGAACTAAGGACCCTCCTAGGACTGACCGATTCAGGGGGGTGTTGGAATAAATCGGTAACGCAGTGTGCTGATCACCTCCTTGGAGACCGAACGTCACCCCTAGCAACCTAAGTTTTCTTAAATAAACAACGGTGAAAAACTTTTCATTCCTGTTCAAGACTCCACTCAAGCTAGTCGTATGATATTTAGTATGGTGAAAGACACAAAAATCTCAAAATATGAGTAAAAAATTTATGACCGACAGTGAAGAAGAGGATGCGGATTTTTCCGCCAGTGAAGATGAATGGCTACCGGAAAATGACAAACCCGGACGCGGTTCAAAGACGGCTTTGGGGAAAGGATCATCTTCCGGTGCGTCCGAATCAGATGATGGTGAAAGCGACGAAGGTGGCGAACCGAAGGGTGGTGGAAGACGCTCCCAAGCGCAAAAGGGGCAGGCGACAGATGCCAGGTATGAATGGAAACCAGTTTTTTTTTGGGTGTTCAAGGTCATCCAAAAATGAGATTTTGTTACCTGAAAAGGGTTGCTTTTGTGTGTCGTTTTAGGAAATCACGCGCTCCACCAAAACCGAAACTATCAACATCGGAGCGTAAGAAATTGTACGAAAAGTATCGCCCCTCAGCTGGCAGCAAAGTTGGCAGAAAAACAGGAAAATCAAAGCCGCTCAAGAAAAAGAAAGAAGAAGATTCCGATTCTGATTGGGAAGAAGTAGAAGAGAAGGAGGAAAACCAGCCTCTGCATGACGTACAAATAACACTGGATGTTGGACCGACAAATGTTCAGAGGAAGAAACGGAGCAATGAAATCGATATTGAAGCATGTATCGAGCGGTTTTTGAATCGCAAGAAGCGTGAGATTCAAATCACCCTCCACAAAATTGACATTGAGATGGCCATTGCCGACGGAAACTTCGTGAACGGCGTTTTGAACAACTCTAAACTATTATCGCTGGCTTTGACGTTGATTCCGTCGCAAAAATGTTATCCAAAGGATAGAACAAACCTAGAATACTTTGAACAGATTACGAAATTTTTCAAAGAAATCGTAGATCTCAAAGAAAGACGAATGTTCTGTCGCTTCAAAAAGCTACCGTCATTGGAGACATCACTTCGCCTGCAGATGTTGACTAAGGCCGCCATCTGTAAGCGTGATTACATTTTGATATTTATAATTCTACTTCGCGCAATTGGCGTCCAGTGTCGCATGGTCATGTCCTTGGCTGTAGAACCGAAGAAGCTACCACAGAGTGAACTACAGCAAACGCAAGTTACAGTGGTAAAGAAAGCAAAAAAGGATATCGACTCGGAAGCAAAATCAACCGCCACCAGTATTAGTAAGGGGTCAAAGAAAAAATCAACCAAGGAAGACCACGATTATGCCGATGACGGTAATAGTGGAGCGAAGAAGGAGCGTTCTAAGCGGAAGGCAGCAACTGGGAGCGCCCTTAAAGTTCCTCAACTTGACGGAAATGACGATTCTTGTGGCGGCGTACCGAGTAAGAAATCCAAGCTGGCACCCTCGACAGGTCAAGCCGACAGTTCGAAGGACAAGCCATCTCCGGGACCAAGTACTTCGAAGGTGAGTGAGAATTTAATCTAGATTGGACATTTGATTCTGGAGATATCATCTAAATACGAGAATGAATGAATATTAGATTGATAGTAACCTTTTAAACACCAACGTTGCAACGGTAGGAAAATTAAACATGTTTCTTATTACTTTCAGGCTGCCATTCCCAAGCTGCAGGAAGTTTCTGTGTTCTCGCCGAGAAAAACACGGAAGCAACGTCAAGAACAAGCCAACGGTTCCCCGAGTTTCTCCGAAATCTCAAAGCCTAATAACCCAAAGCGAAATAGCAATCCACCTGTCGTCGCAGTACCCTCCACCACTTCATCTATTTTGATCAGGAAGGACTATAAAGACAAACCAGTGAAGAATATTATCGATAAGAAGAAGACATCCACTAAAGGGGTTAAACCTTCTAATACAACAGCAATTAATTCAAAAGTAAATCAAAGCAATACGCAAACGAAGAATGCAACACCGAAAGCTACAAAACCGAAACCAGAACCGGTCAAAGCACCGACAGTGGAAAAATCTAAATCCAAATGTAAAGAAAGTCCCAAAGTTCTTAAGGTGGAAATCTTTGACAAGAAACTCAAAAAACGGCTGGACCGTCGAGTGCTTTCAACGGACGACGAATTTCGTAAAGATCCAGACAACAAAACCAAGCTCAAATCCGGCGTCAATCTGTGGATCGAGGTGTACGCCGAGGAGGAGGAACAATGGGTCCCACTCGATGCCGTGGGTAGCAAGGTCCACTGCCTGGAACACATTGTGAAGCAGGCTTCGTCTCCACTGGTCTACATCCTCGCATGGAACAACGACGGCACAATCAAAGACGTTTCCCCGCGTTACTGTCCGAACTATGCTACCAGCACCAAAAAGCTACGTATCAAGCAGAAGTGGTTGGACAAAACGTTGGCCGAGTTCAAGGGGAAGCGAACGGCCAAGGATATCGAAGAGGACCGTTCTCTGAATCAGGCACTGATGGAGCAGCCTCTACCAACGACCATCAGCGAGTTCAAGAATAATCCGCTCTACGCCTTGAAGCGACACCTGCTGAAGTTTGAAGGAATCTACCCGCCGGATGCTCCGACACTTGGATTCATCAAGGATGAACCCGTTTACGCGAGGGAATGCGTACAGACGCTACACTCGCGGGAAATTTGGCTGAAGCAGGCGCGAACGGTGAAGATGTTCGAAACGGCGTACAAGGTGGTCAATGCCAGGCCCAAATACGATCGGGTAAGTTTGTTCCGGGTCACGAACCAAACGGTAATAGTTTGACTCTTCTGACTTTTTCTTCAGGCCTCCAGTCAAATGCTTCCGGCTCAGCCGCTGGAACTTTTCGGCTACTGGCAAACTCAGGACTACGAACCTCCTACGGCGGAAGACGGCATCGTTCCGAGGAATGCCTACGGCAACGTGGAACTTTTCAAACCGTGCATGCTCCCGAAGAAAACCGTTCATCTGCAATGTGAGTATTTTAATCCTGGAGTAACGCGGTGTGCTTCATATTTGCATATGAATCATTTGTTTTTAATGCCATAAAAAAACTTCCCCAGCGAAGAGTGAAGATTTCCTTTTGAACTGTCTCGCACACTGGTTACATGTTCGGCTTGCACTGGAATATGACCGCCTTGCAATAAACCAATTCGATTTTTGTTTTTCAGTGCCCAGTTTGAACCGAATTTGCAAGAAGCTGGGCATCGATTGCGCTCAAGCCGTGACCGGGTTCGATTTCCACGGCGGATGCAGCCATCCAGTGTACGACGGGTTCGTAGTTTGCGAGGAGTTCAAGGACCTGGTGTTCGACGCCTGGTACCAGGAGCAGGAGCAAGAAGAGAAACGAGAACGCGACAAGTACGAGAAGCGGGTCTACGGCAACTGGAAGAAGCTTATCAAGAGATTGCTGATTCGTCGGAAGCTGCAGAATAAGTACAATTTCGACAATCTCACTGGGTAATTGGATCCCATCGAGTGATCTAAATGGCATGCTCGGCTGATGATTTTTAAGTGTCGGAGTAGTTCGTAAATGTTCTTACGTTGATGCATCTTGTCTAATTAAAGATTACTACATTCGACTGAAATCACTCTGGTTTTTGCAAATGGTTTGTTTGGGGTTGAACATTTTTTCGACTTACCTGGACATACAGTATGCTTACACTAATGTAAAAATGGTACAGACTTAGAAAGAGCTGTCAATTAACAACTGCGGGAGTGCTCAAATAACACTAAGTTGAGGTCCGGCATGAAGTCCCAGTAAAGACGTAATAAAGCCACAGAAGAGGAAGGACATAATTAGAATAATTCTAAAGCGAATCCGAGGTTATTTGCAAGGGAATTCTAAGGATATATCTACGATAGTTTTAAAGGGGATTCTGTGCAATATATTGAAAGAAATTTAAGTGAATTCTTGTGAGTGTCATTAAGAATCAACTAAAAATGTAGAATGAATCCCTAGAGGAATCAGCAAACCAATTCTCTAGGGACTAACAGAAATATTCTAGATGTCGAACATCAAGCAGATTCTGAAATCGCGAACTTAAAAAAAGTATCTGAGACTTCCTTTTTAAATATTCTAGCCTTAGATTTTTTTAAATCTTGGACTTAGACAAATTCTTAAATTTGGTATAATTTTTAATTTGTCGAGATTTCAAACTTGAAAGATTTTTGACAAATTTAGGATCTCAGACTGAAGAAATGATCAGGAAGATGAGAGACCAGATTTATCCTTTTTCAAAATATGACTAGTTCTTTCGAGTTATACGACCATGTAAGCCCTCTATGGTTCACTGGCTACTGGTACATGCATATTTTACGAAATTAAGAATAATGGAATTTTAAAGAAAAAATATTAGGCCTTAAAAAATTCAGCATCTTCTAAATGGATCCAATGCACACCGTGTCTTTAACTGAGTGAACTGAGCTATCAGAGGCTCCTAACAGATGTCTGAAAGTCGATCCCGAAACCTTGTGACAATGGATACGATCTAGGAGCTCGATTGTAGGTAGATAGGGCAGTCAAAGATTTCGTTTGGTGGGTGTTAGACAGCGATACTGATTTTTTTTTTTGCAAATGATGGCCACCGTGAGATCTTTTTCT